TGCTTTCCCAGGCAATCAGGAAGGAGCAGGGTGGGAAATAGAGCAGTCAAAACACAAATCAGCACCCATAAGGGATCCCAGTCCTTGCAAGGGGAGGATTAACCAGTTGAGCCATCTTGCCAGGCCACTATTTGTTTTTAAAGTAGTAATTTTAAAACTTAAATTTTAAATCTTTAATTCTAAGTAACTTTTATAAAGTCAATCCTAGTTTTTTTTTTTTAAAGATTTTATTTGTTTTATTAGAAAATAGAGTTACAGAGAGAGAATGAGAGGCACAGAGAGATCCTGCATCCACTGGTTCACTCTCCAAATGATCCCAGTGGCCAGAGCTAGGATGGTTTGAAGCCAGGAGTCAGGAGCCTCATCTGAGTCTCCAACCTGGGTAACAGGGACCATGCATTTGGGCCATCCTCTGCTGCTTTCCCTGTTGCATTAGCAGGGAACAGGATCAGAAGTGCAACAGCTGGGACTTGAACCAGCATGCCATAGGACATGCCAGTATCACAATGGTTGCAGCTTAACTGGCTATGCCACAACACAGGCCCTCCACCATCTACTTTTTATAATATTTCCATGATAACGGAATAGTTTGGAAGTTGACTTGGTTAAGAAAAGATTTTATTTTATAGTTTATATTTATTTTTAGTTGATTTAATGTGTTCTGTTTGAGTTTGTCGTACCGGATGTTTGCCCTGAATTCCTGATGTAGCTTGCAGAACCCATTTATGTAGTGTAGAGGAGCAGTTTTCTCTTCCACCAATTATATCTTTATATCCAATTACATAGAAATTTCTAGCCACTCATGGAAAAGATTTGTTGTTAACTTTCATTTTAATGATCCCTTTTTATTTTATTAACTTTAGTCCAGTGTCTTAGCCATAGGTGCCAGCCCAGGAAACACCTTTTACATGAGGAAAGACACTAGTTTTTGCACTAGAATGTGTATCTGAAAGATATCTTGAAGGATAAATGTTTGAGGAGATAAGTTTGCCTTAATTTGAACATTACAGTGAATGCTCATAGCAAAATATCATCGATGTCCTAGAAATATGTAGTTTTGTGAATCAGTTAAAAATTTTATAAACCCCTACAAATTGTAAGATAGATAGATAGATAGATAGATATAAAAGAAATCCTAAGGACCACAGTTTTAAGGGTTGAAGTTTGTTTCCTCCTGCCCACTCAGGATTGACTTGATTGGACCGTCATCAGCTCTGTTAGGAGGCAGTAATGGCTCCGGGGCTCTCTGTGCTAGCTGCCTATCTGAGTTACTTGGGGGGTATTTTGTTTTGGTTTTAGTGACAGAGATGCCTAAACCCTGTATCTGGAACCTCACTAGGTTTGTCTTGCTGCCCCAACGTGGCCTCACCTTTTCTGTAGGGTTGCTTTTACAACCACCTGTGCTTCGTCCTGCCTTCCTCCCTCTTTGGATAGGTGACCTAGTCATGTGGTACAGGATTCAGCAGCCACCCAGAAAAGTACAGGGGAAGGAAGTCTCAGGTCTCTCCCGGCTCTCAGACATCTCCTGTTCTCCTTCCTCAGACGTACTTGTTGCCACTGCCTTCACAGGCAATGTTGATGTGCATTAAGGAAGGAGAGTCACTGGGCAGTGCTCACAAGAATGGTCCTCTGCAGGTGTTACAGCATGACCAGGGAGGGGCAAGACACTTTTCTTAAAAAAAAAAAAAGAAATATGAAAACCCATTCATATTTTCATCATGCACATTGGAATATTTCTATAATTTCACTGCCATTATACCAATGCTTTTTTGTTTGTTTTGCTTCTAATTTTAATTTTTCCCCCAGTGAAAATAGTGATCCACTTGATGATAATATATTCTCTGGCTCTAACAAAAAAATATAGGACTATTTCCTTTCATTTTCCTGAAGTTTTTAGAATTGTAATGTCTATGTGATAGATAATAATGGATAACAGTGTGCAAATTAGCTCTCCAAAACTTCAGCATTTTAATTCTTTCTAGGGTTTAGGTTTAGGATATTTTACACTGAACTGGAACTTTCTCATGTAAATATTGTTAAATGGAATTATTTCCAAAGAATAAGCTGCTAATACAGAAAGCTGTCACTGCCTTTTGGTTACCTTGTTTGTATGGTAGTATTTCTCCTAGTGGAAAATAGAGCATCTGCCTCTGGAATCCCAAACTCAGAGTTCATATTACAGTCCAGCAGTAAAGACAGTTCCCTTAACATTACGCAACAGCATTCTTAAGCTTATTGCTGCTAAAGACTTGTTTTTAGTAACATATAATAACAGCCCTTGAAAATGCACTTTGAGAAGTAATTGATAATATTTTGAGTTTTCAAATGGATTTGTTAGAATTAGTGAATTCACACACCTCTGAGTTTTATCATGATAGCCTTTCATGTCTGTGATAATTCTAGTTCCACCTTAGTTGGAGATTGGCATCAGCAGGCACTCATAGAAAACTTAGTAAGTCTGGCCCCATTGAAGTAGGCTGTCAGAACACTGCTGGTGCAGCAGGTAAAGCCACCAACCACATCACCAGCAGCCATGGGAGCCACTGTTTCAAGTTCTAGCTGCTCCATTTCCAACCCAACTTCCTGCCAATATGTGTTTTGACCCCTGAACCCACACGGGATACCCAAATGAAGCTTCTGGCTCCAGGCTCCTGGTTTGGCCTTGCTCAATCCAGGCCATTGGGGTCATTTGGGAAGCAAATCAGCAAATGGAAAATCTCTTTTCCTTTCTCTTTATAATTCTTTCAAATAAATGAGTAAATCTTAAAATAAATAAATTAATAGCTTTTTGTATACATCCAAATATGGGTTATCAGAATGAACAACAGTGGAAACAAGAGCAACAGAAATAAGATGCAGGGTTGAGTCTGTTCAGGCTCCTGAAGCTACATAGCCTGTTCCCAAGAAGTTGATTTCTCACCAGTCTAAGCTCAGGGTGCAGCATGTCTAGGGTTTGCTTTCTTGTGTTAGGTGCCTCCTGGCTGCGTCTTTGTATGGTGGGCTGGGCGGAGAAGCACCCTAAGGCCTCTTTCCTGAGGGCCCTAACTGCATAGATGAGGCTTTGACCTTCACAGGGGATCACCTCCCACAGGCCCCTCTTGGCTGGTGCCATCACACTTTGGGGTAGGGTTTCAAGTATTTGCAGGAAACATAAACACTCAGACTGTAGCAAATGAGGGTGGATCTAAAGGAAAAAAAAAAAAGCTATAAGTAGCCTTAATAAAACATTGATATCAGACCCTGAATGAAATATTCCCTGTTAGAGTAAGGGATTTAGGTGGTTTGGGAGCTATTCGATCTAATGTTTTGAGTCTGAAATGAATTCAATATTAAAATCTCCTCTATAGCTGATTTGTTAGAAGTAGACTTTGTTTTTTTTCATAGAATTTCCTATAGTAATTTGCCATATACCTGTCATTTTAGGGGACCACATAGTGTGTTTGTTTGTTTAGTATTACAGATACCTTGACTATTTCGTCCACCAATGGTTAACGTTTGTAACATTAGTGCCTAAAAATGTACATGATCTGTTTGTACTTTTTGAAAGTAGAATGTTCTCAGTGTAAGATTTCAAACAATCTTGGTATGTACAAAGTAAAAACTCTACCAAAAACAAATGGGATTACATTACTCATTATTTGTTAGCACTTTGTGCATCTTTAGTTAACACTTTTCCCCTCTTTGAACTTTGCTAGGGAAAGTCCATGTGAGTATGTGCAGAAGAATCTTGTACCCCACAGTACTTTTACATAGTCCCTCATGTGGAAATACCATGACTGTCTGCTATTGAAGTGGCTTTTAAATTCTGGTATTGTAAGTGGTATTCTAATAATCATCTTTTTTTTTAATCTTTGCATGATCACCTATTTCTGTAAATAAATTTCTACATGTGAAATTGCACAGAGAGTCTGCACATTAAGTTAGATGAACAGGTATAGTTCCTCAGAAATGCATACCTGTATGTTCTATTATCTTCTGGCATTTGCTTGAGCTTTTGTAATCTGTGGCTCATTGCTCCAGAGATGGACTGTGTTGGGAGCAGTTTCCATCTTCCTGCAGTGTATTTTGCACTCTGTTTTCTTTTTCCCCTGTCACTTAACTCACATCTTCAATGTGCCCGTATTTTCAGCCACTGTCTCTTTGAATGTTGCGTCTCCTTCATCTTTCCTCCTGGAAGTCTCTGCCAGATGCATGTTTTCCTTCTGACTGATGGGTTTAGTTTCCACGGATCTCTCTGCCTGAAGTAAGCCCTCTGCTTTCTGGTTGCTGTTCTCATAACTGCTGGTTCTCACATCCTGTTTGCTCAGTCTCTTTTGCTCTTGGTTTTTGCATCGCAGTGATGGTATTTCGCTTTCTAGAAGTCCTCAGTGATCCTTTTTCAAATCTGCATTTTTACTTTATATATTATCTTTGTGGTTTCTTTTCCTTCTTTTATCTTTGCAATCATTTTAAATATTTCTGTCTTGCAGCTTCCTGCAGGTTATCCTGTAGTCTTGCGTTCTTAGATTCTAATCATCCACTTGGTATTCCTCATTCTTACTCATGAAGAATTATTTATTTGTGGTTTTGAATTTGGTTTATCATTAGTTAATCTTCAGCATGATCTTGTTTTTCATCTAGGAATCACTTGGTGCCAGGGTTAAAATACTCTTTCAAAGTAGTTCTGCATTAGTTTCTGTCAGGAAACCCATATATCACCAGCCAAAAACCTTTTCTAAATCTTACTTTCTTTTGGAGTATCTTCTGTACACCTGTAAATTAAATTTTGATTCCACACCTGTATATGTATATGGTGCATCTGGCTTTCAATTTTTTTGAGATTTATTTGTTTTTATTTGAAAAGCAGAATTACAGGGAGGGAAAGAAATACAGTGAAACAGGCCTTCCATTCACTGGGCTGGTCTAGAGCCAGGAGCCAGACACTCCTTCCAAGTTTCCCATGTGGGTGAGGAGTCAAAGTCCTGAGCCATCTTCCATTATTTTTCCCAGGCTGTTAGTAAGAAACTAGATCAGAAGTGGAGCAGCCAGGACACAAACTGATGTCCATTTGGGATGCTGGCAACACATGTAGAGGCTTAGGCTGTTACTGCACAGCACCATCATGTGATTTTAATTTCTAAGGGCAGCTTTCCCTTCTCAACCATGGTTCCTAGGGATTTCAATGGTCTTTGGCTTCTGTATAACAGTGGGTTGAGGCAATATTGCTTTGACAGCAATAAAGAGAATGTTCCAGAATCTGGGCTTTATAAAATCATCTCATTTAAATAAAATATCTCTTATATGACCATAAAGTCGGCCTATTGATGGTATTTAAAGCCTGGTGCCAGTGTGTCCAACCCTAGTAACTCTACCCCCTGTCCTAGCTCCTCATCCTCTCCCTGGTAGCACCACAGCATTTTGACTTGTGCTCTGGCTATCTGGCTTTCAAGTTTTTGACATCAGGCAGTTTTTTCTTACAAGTTCTGCTGTGTATTGAAACAAATCTAGTTTTTCAGTGGTTTTAGTTGATTCTAACAAAAGTGAGTCTGAATTATTAGCTCAGTACATCATGATATCAGAACTGAAGACTTTTTCATCACCAAAACAAGAGTGGATTTTCCTAACTGGTGCTTAGGAGTGTCTATTGAGATAACAGTGTAAATACTCTTCTGTAATTAAATTAATATAGTAGAAGAACATATACAAGTTTGCCAAATGATCATAAAAACCTATAATAAATTCAGTTCTGTGGCCTACTGTATTCCATTCCCTAATCTTTTATTTAAACATTGAGTGCCAGTTTTTGCAGATAAATTACTTTGATACATGGGTGCTTTGTTTGCTCTTGCATGCATATCAGAAGGTGAGAACCTCCAAAGAATTTAGATAATTGGAGTTTGCTTAGGCTTTGGCATATTAAATAACATAGTAATTGCCTATTTTCTGAAAATATTGTGGGGTCCTTGGAAAGGGGAGAATTGTCAAGAGCATTCAGCTTCACTCAAACTTTTCCTTATTGTTGAAGTGATTGTTTTGGTTGCTTGTTTGGTTTTAAGGTCTTCTTGCATGGCTTATTTACTATAAAGTGATGAGCCCCATCTAAGTAGTGTCTCTCCCTCCACCTCGTCCTTCCCTTTTTCCTGTTTCTCCCAGGGTTAGAATTTTGAGAGCTTTTCCCTTTTGTTGGATTTGATGGGAAGCCAACTGCAATTTGTTTAACATTGTACGATTTACTGATAAAAAACATAGTTTTCTTCTTGAATCGCTAGTTTGGGAAAGAATATTGGAGCTGCAGTCCCTGTCTCCCTGTCTATTATAACTGAAATAACTAAATTAAAAACACTTCCCAGGGGTAAATACAGAATATTGCTTAAGCAAAATTGAGAAGCAACTGAGCAGAAAAATAGGCTGAAAATTGTGAGTGGATGGGTGTGTTGAGACTGAATTATAGATCTTTAATTTCTGTAATAGAAAATCCATAGTTTTTTAAAAAAGAAAATTCAAGCAACAGCTCTTTTTTTTTTTTAAGGGAATTTTAATTTTTTTTCATCCCTTTTTTGTTTGAAAGATCTTCCATCTACTGAATCACTTGCGCCAAGTGGAAGCAAGGGGCTGGGAATTCAGTCCATATCCTCTTCATGGTAGAGAGGGACCCAACCACTTAAGACATCAACTGCTGCCTCCTGGGATTCACATGCGTAGAAAATGGAGCCAAGTCTGAAAGCCAGACACTCCTACGTGGGGCGACAACATCCTTAGCAGCTCAACTGTCCAGCTGAACACCTGATCCCCTTTTATGATTCTGTAGGAACACAGAGAAGCAGCTGAGTGTTAACACGGGTCACCTGTGCCGAGTAGAAACCAGGTAAAGGCATGAGGCAGGGGAACTGCTGGTCTCCTTGATAGAGCTTTGTAGCACTGCTTTTTGAACTGTTTAGGTGTAGGTGTGTTATTTGAACTTAAGTTTTCTGTATAGAATAGTGTCGTGTTTCCTGAACAAGAAATTAAGATATTTAAAAGTCAGTGTTTAAAACATACTACTCATATTTTGGGGGTGGAAGGAATATTGACCCTTGTGAAAAAAAAATGGGTGTATTAATGCGTTAGCCATAATTAACCAAGAATTTGTTTCTTCGCATGTTCTGAAATTATGCCATTAGTAGTATTTATTATCTCATCTGTACTAACATTATTGCCAGCTCTGGAAATGGCTTAAAGATTTTTATCTATAGCTTGAATTTCCCCTCTGAGCTCCACAGATCTGCGTGTCTCAGCTCCCTGAGCGATGCCTGCTTTGGGATGCACCCTGAACTCTACGTGTTCAAAACCAGATCTATGATCCTCTGATTTGTACATGTGATCCTTTTCATCATTCCCTAGTTCATAGTTGAGACCAAATCAGAAATCAATCTTGACACTTATTTCCCATCCTCTCGGTTTCTAGTCCATCATCTAGTTCCATAGCATTTCACTTGCTGAATATTCAGTGAGTTTTCCGCAGCTCTATCCCCAGTCTGCATTGCATCCCTGTAGTGTGGCTGTTAGCATTCCCAGCTTGACCATAGTAGTAGCTTCCTAACGTCCTTCTTACAGGTTTCTTTGCTCTTTTCTCCATAATACAGCCATTCTTCATACATACATGATTTCTTTTTTTATTATATTGGGCAGTTTCCCTTACTCTTAAGTAAACCCCTAGATTTTAATGAGGTTGATTTTAAGCACATTTCATTTTTTTTTAAGTCAAAGTTATGAGAGAGAGGGAGAGAGAGTTCCAGAGGATTTATCTAGGTCTTCCCCATGGGTTCAGGAACCCACATCTTCGGGCCATGTTCTGCTGCCTTCCCAAGGGCATTAGTGGGGGACCTAGATCAGAAGAGGAGCAGCTGGACTCAAACTAGCCCCATACATGGGATGCTGGCATGATAGGCAGTATCTTTGCCCACTATGCCGTAACACCAGTACCTCGGGCACCAGTACCTCGGGTGGTTTTTGTAATTTTTTTTTATTATTTCAGATGATTTTTTTTTATGTGACACAGTTTTATAGGTACTGGGTTTCCCCCCACCCCTTCCCTAACCCTCCCCCCATGATGGATTCCTCCCCATTGTTGTGTGACCACAGTTCAAGTTCAGTTGAGATTCCTTCATTGCAAGCATATACAAAGCATAGAGTACAGCATCTTATTGTCCAGATAAGTTCAACAGCTTCTTGGGGAGACCCTCTCTGGTCTGAAGGTAGAGCCAACAGAGTAAAATCCTGATCAATTAAAAGCCCCAACATAACATCAGCAACAACATATAACGTTATGGAATTAATTGACATAGTAAACAATATGTTAAAATTAAATGCAATTTCTTAGCAACAACCTGTGACTACTTCAATGACATTTCAACAATTGAGGTACAAAACAGTTTTAGGAGAGGTGTGCAGAGAAATCTTCAATACCTTGGTGAGGAGTACTTAATCTTTGTGTCCTATCTAGTAAGGTATGTATGAGTCCATGCTGACCAAGCTTTCCTTGTTGTTCTCTGCCTATCTATTCTAATTTGTGAGAGAAAGAGAGAGAGAGAGAGTGTGTGTGTGTGTGTGTGTGTGTGTGTGTGTGTGTGTGTGTGTGTTTGGGGGGTGGGGGGTTCTGGAGCGGCCCTGATGGTCATTGCAGAGAGGGTAGGGACCCAAAGTTGGAACTAAGTAAGGACCAGAGAAAGCTCCTCTCCCTAGTTCCGAAGGAAGTTTACTGTTCAGATTCTGAGGACCGCTCAGGGTTCCTGGCAGTTTTTCCGATGACCTTGGATCCTACGAGGAAGGATTCGGGTGTCTTCCATCCACTATGGTAGGTCCAAAGTGGGGGGGGGGGTGTTAGAATATCCTCTGAATATCCTCTGAATTCTCTTTGGCAGTTGGGGTATAGTCCTTGGTGCCCTTACTGATAGTCCTTGGTGGGGATCCGTGAGTCTCCAGGGTTGGGATACAAGCCTCCTCCTGTCCCCCTGCTCCACTCTGGAGGCCTCCCATGCTTTGGGCATATGACCTCTTGTTAATAGGTTGTCAGAATTGCTCTTCATTCCCCCGTAAGTCTTTGTAGTTTTACTGTTGTCTAATGCTGTTTTGAATCTATTGTCTATAAGTTACTTGTTATGTTCTTGATAGGTTACACTACACAGCTTCCTCACACATTCAAAGGAGATGGAAGATTTCTTTGCTCTCCCACCCCATTTCTAAGTAGCACAAGATTTTGAAAGTATATTAAGTTTTACAATTTTTCAAAACACATGGGTTGACACCGTATTAATTACAGGTTCATCTGAGGAAGATTTGCTGTCATTGGGAGTCTTTAGGATTGATTCACCTCCCCAAAGCCCTGAGGGTTCAGCCTGGAGCTATCTAAGCAGCAATCAAAGAACCAGAATCCCGGAGCTCCCTGGCCAGATGGCCAGTAGGTGGAGCCTAGCGCCAAATGGTGCACTGGCCGCCTGGTGGCAGCTCCCCACGTGCGCAGTAGCCGCCGTGTGAGAACCAGGCATGAAACACCACTGACCCAGGCCCCCCAGCCACCATGCGGTGGCTGGAGGTCCACCCCCCCCCCCACTTTTTCAGTTTCTGAATTTCCATTTGGTTGTTTATATAGATTCTGTTTGCTTGATGAGAATGCATGCATATTTGCCCTTATAGTTGAATAGCTACTTTAAAGTGTTAATGTGTTAGTTGTAGCAGCTGAATCAACTTGGGCCTGGTTGCCGGTGACTCCCGTTCCTGCTGAGTATCAATCAGTTGCTCATATGTGTAGTGGTTCTGGGTTGTGTTCTGTACACTATGAATGGCATGTAGAGGCTCTTTCCATTTTATTCCTCAGTGAAACTTTCCTGCCTCCATGAGTATTGATGTTTTGTTTTACTGAACAGTTAACTTGACCGAACTCAAACTACAGACTCAGAAATATCAGCTCAGTTATTTTAACCTTGGCCTAGTTGCTTGGAATGAGTCTACATATGTATAGTTCAGAGATGTGTGTATAAATTCACAAAACTAAAGACTTCCTCTAGTTCTTGTCTTTCTGTAATTTTCTCACTAGCCTTCAGCTATTGTGGTCATACCAAAATCTGTCCCTGGTTGATCTGGCTTGTAAAGCTACAGGTATTCTATATGTTTTAACTACCCAAACCAACTGGTAATCGCCATGCGGCCAAAAGCATTAGCAGATGAAAAGTCACTCGTGGTGTTCTTCCAGGTGCTGGGCTCCTGTCTCCTCCTCCCTTCCTTTTCTGTTTCTGCATCAAGTTGTTATTGTCTAGTAAGAACAACTCTACATTTACATGAAGTGAAACACTTAAAAGAAAATTATATGTTGAGTAGTTTTTACTTGAGAATCATTATTAGAAAAGCAAGCTAATGAGCCTGGCACTGTAGCATTTGGGCAGTTTGGACTGACTTTAATCCTTGTCTTCCATGTGTGCACTGGTTCAAGTCCCAGCATCTCCACTTTTAATCCAGTTCCCTACTAACTTGCCTCGGAAAAGCACATGATTCCCTACCACCCACATGTTAGACCGTGACGAAATTCCTGGTTTTGATCCAGCCTTGGCCATTGCAGCCATTTGGGGCATGACGAGTAGATGGAAGATCTCTTTGTCTCTCCCTTTGCTCTGTAAGTCTACCTGAGAAATAATTTTTTAGAAGGAAACATAATAGCAAACAAGTGTGGTAATATATTTCCACATATATGTCTTAATAATGGAACTAGGTGTTTTCATGATTTGTGCTTTTTTAAAGTAACAGAGGTATTCTTCAGACCGAGGGTTTGTTTCTCCTTCAGGTTATATACAAATTATTCTGTTTTTCAGGTTTTTGATTATTTGAAATGTGTTTTTCAAGCAAAGTAACATGAAAAAGGCAAAATGTAAATCTTTCATCTCATCCAACAAATATATTGCATCTTTGATGAGTCAAAAATGAGGCTTCTAGAGAGAGCAGTGGATCTCAAAGTCCTTGAACTGGTCAGGTGTTTGACCTCATGGTTCATGAAGATGCATGAACCATGTCAGAGCACCTGGGTTCCACACCTGCTTGTGGCCCCTCACTCCAGCTGCAGCCACAGCAGCAGCAACCATGATAGCTTACGGGATCGGGTTCCTGCTCACCCAGGTGGGAGACGGATTGAGTTCCAATCTCCCTGCTTCAGCTTCCGCCCAGCCTGGGTTTTGTGGCCATGTACATTGTGAATGGGCACATAGAAACCTTCTCTCTTAGTTTCTCTCTCTCCCTCACTGTCTCCACCCCTCTGTCCCTTTAAAAACTTTTTTAAAGTCCTGATCATGTGAAGCCAAGTGTTGGGGATAGGCAATGAATAAGGAAAAGGAAATGATTAAGGAAAAGGTAGTGACAGATGCTATGAAAGAAAAGCAGCAAGAGGATATGATAAGATGGCAGGGGAAGTACAGAGGTGTGGCATTGTTTTAGATGGAGGGATTGGTTGTGGTTGGGAAGGTACCTTTGAGGAAGTGATATCTGATCAGAGATCTTAATACAAGTGTCTGAGGGGAAAGTGGTCCAGGCAGAAGTTAAGTCCAAAAGCTTTAAGATAAAAATGATATTGGCTCCTTGTAGAAATCACCAGAAGAGTATGTGAACTAAAGGACAATGGTAGTGGCAGCAGATGGAATTTAAAAGATAGTAGTTAGCCAGGGATCTGGTGATGTAGTTTTGAGCAGGAGAGCAATTGCCTCTGATAGACTTTTCGTAAGGATCATCCACTGGAGAAGTGACTGGGGCTTGGGACCAGCCCCAGGGTATTGCTGGAACAAAGAATGAAGGTAGGGAAAGGATCAGTTAGAGACCTTTTGTAGTTGTCCTGTAGGTGAATTACAATGGTATCTTAAACAAGAGGAGTAGCAAATGTCAAAGTGTAGTTAGTATTTGAGATATAGTCAGACTTGGCGGAATATTCAAGGTTGAGTAAGAGAAGGACCAGCTGCGTAAATAGGGGCACCATTTAGTGAAATGCAAAAGGTTAGTTTGGGTTGGGGCAAGTTAAGAATACAATTTTGTAAGTCAAGTTGGAAGTGAGAAGTGAGTATAAGACGCCAAAAAGATGTCAGACAAGCAGTTGGATATATTAGTTTGAAATTCAAGAAAATGTTAGGGTTGCAGATAATTTTGCCAAACCTCACAATACAGATGCCATTTGCAGCAGCGTATGAAATGACCAAGAGAAATGTTAGTTTCTAGTTTGTTAGAAATCCTAGGTCTGAACTCAATTAGCCCACCAACATGCAGATGTCCAGAAAAGGAAGCAAGCCCAGCAGAGGAACCTGAGAAGCTGCCGCAGTGGGCAGAGAAAACCAGGAAGAATATAAATATCAGAAAGCAAGTGGGGACAGTGTTTCAGGCATGAAGGAGTGGTCGAATGGGTCGGAACCTGCAGTATGTCTGGGAACATGAGAACTGGGAACTCCAGTGGCTTTCACTGCCTGAAGCTCCGTCATGTGATTTCAGGGAAACTTGGTAAAACACGGTGAAACTTGGTAAAGTGTGCTGAAGTAGATTAGGAGGATGGACGTGAAAACACTTCATGGGGAAATAACCCTTTTCAGAGTTCTGGCCTATGGTGAGAAAATGGGCTGGTACTTGGAGAGAACGCAGGAACTTGTCTCCAGATAAGTGGCTTGGTATAATTTCCAGCATTTCTCTTTGTACAGCAGCCCATTTGTAGGATCACTGCTTCAAGAGCTAAAATTTAGGGAAAGCTATAGTGCAAATGATTTGGCTTGGCGTTGATTTTTGTCAGTGACATATAATAGCCAGAGACATGGATGAAAGAGTGGAGTAAAATTTGAAACCAAGTAATAATAAACAACTCGAATGCTTACTATCTAAATGAGCTTTTATTCTGTCAAGGGCTTAGAAGCCGTAACATAATAAACCTACATGAAAATGTTTTGCTATCTGTTACGCTGGAGGCCGTCTTACAACATGCTGGTACACAGTAATGTTTACCCAAACCTAACTCCTATATTCACAGAATTTACAGATTTATAATTTTATATGCTTGTGTTAGAAAAGATGCAAATAAAATATAATTTGTAATTACAAATAAGAATAGTTTTAAAGATATTGTTGTCTTGTCATTTCTCCTAAATTAAAGTGTGCTTTTTGGTCAAATAACTTAATTTTAAATATTTGAATGTTCTGTTGAAATTTAATGTATCTCAAAGAGGTGTTGAAGATTAAACGTGGTTTACCTTTGGAGCACTAAAAATAAAAGCAAGGTGGCAGTTCTCAACTTTGACTGCATATTAGAATCACCTGAGAAACTATAAAAAATTAATATGCCCAAAGGATGATGTATATCTGGAAAACAGAGCAAAATATCATCTGAATTGGGCTAAAGAGCAATAAACTTTAGCAAAGTGTACGGTTATTTATAAAACCAAGTTTTTTAGTGTCCAACTTTAAGAATTTTAAGTAATAAAATTATTTACTTTCCCCTCTTTATAGTGAGTATAAAGAACATTGACCATGGTTTCTTATTTAAATGCCTTTTGACTCAGCCATTAAAGAGCATATGGATACTTAGGAGTTGGGGTGGAAGTTGTACCGGAATGCATTATAGACCTAAACGATGTTTTTGCGGTTTATAAGTGTTAAGTACTGAAGTGCATACTCCTTTGTACTGAAATTATAAATCCACAGCAGTTTCCATTCTGTGATTAGTTCTCATTACCTTTTTTTCCCTTTCTTTCTTTCACAGAAAATGCTTGGACAGAAGAGATGAGTACTTTTTCCACTGAGGCCTAGAATTGCCTACTGTACAGATAATCCTGATCAGGCAATATACGAATGGCCCAAGGAAGCCACCAAATTGATTTTCAGGTTTTACATGACCTGCGACAAAAATTCCCTGAAGTACCTGAAGTTGTTGTATCCAGGTGTATGTTACAGGTCAGTATACAATCATTTCTCAATTTATTAGTACAAACCTCATCTTTTTGTAAACTTTGGATGGAAACTCTTAAGTTAACTTCTTGTTGGCATCAGTATGCTATGATGAATAGATGAGCTTCGGTGTTTGGCAGTCTTGCAGCTCTCTGACGCCATCTGAATGCGGGTGACACCTGCTTTGGAGTGTAAATGTAAGGATTAAAATGTCTGAATGGACAGCATTGACTGAGAATCCATACTGATTAGCTATTTCCCCCTCCTTTTCTTACAAACATATGTGTTGGTGATAAAAAAAAAAAACTTGAGGTCATGCTTTGGCAGTTACTACTCAGCTGTACAATGGTAATACAAAGCCTTACAGAAGTTAAATTTGGTAATAATTGTACAACAGCCAGTAGGATACCTGATTTGAAATGAGTGCTCAGCAAAATGGCAACAGCCAGTACTAACAGGAGTAACAGTAGAAGGCCCGTGATAATTATCTGGCAACAAATCAGTATTTCACATTTGTCTGTGTAGAATCTGAAAGCAGCAGCCAAGAAAAGGAAAACAGATAGTAAGGGAGGAGTCAGAATTTAAAGAAAGTTAAAGAGGAAAAGACAGAAAAGAGAAAGCTAGTCTCCCTCATAAGTCAAATTGTCCCTTTCTAACTTTTCAAATAAATGGGTTTTATAGTAAAATCATCCTAAGTATGCTTAGTGGGTCATTGAAAAACTAACAGAAAAATCCTATATAGGTTTTTCAGTAAGATTTCATAGACTTCATATTGGTAGAACTGTCCAAGACATTTCCTGTAAAACATGGTAGATGTTTTATTAAAGATTTTAAAGTACCTTAACTCAGAGTAAGATACAAAGCCTCTTTTACAATTACTCAGAGTATCTTCAAGGAAGTAAAGAAGAACTCTAATGTACTTATGCAGTATGATCTTCAGAATACATTAAGAAAATAACATGCAGAGCAATGTTTATGGAAAGGACAGAGGGGGTAAATATACAGATCGATGCCTGTTTTCCCAGTTTGCTTAAAGAAATACTGGAAGATTAATAAAGACAGTTAGCAGTGCTGGGCAGGAAGGACTAGGCCAAATAGGAAAAGTTAAGACTGAGATGTCTCAACAAATGTCTTTTTTAAAATTGTTTTGATCTGTGTAAATTACTAAATACATGGTTTTGGATTTCCTTTGCATACTCATTTGTATTACCTTCAGTACCTTAAGCTGGTTTTATTTCAAAAAAAAAAAAAAATTCATTAACATGCTTCTGAAACCAAGTGATAACCAAAATGAAATCTTTTTGGTTTGCAATACTTTTTAAAAGTGAGTTACTAGTTCTTCTAGGCTTCAAGATAATGTACATCTTTTTAGCTCTTTTAATGAGAAATATACCAAGGAAGGAACGGGATGGGCTCCTCCATGATACAATTAGTGTATGTTCCCAGTTTTTAGGCAGTATTTTAAATTACAAAAGCACATCAACTACCTCTGCTTATCGTTAAACATCTCTTAGTTGTTAACAGCCTTTTCCCTTTCTTGGTTGAATGGGCTTCTTTCCTTTTCCCTTGAGACATCCTCAGGAGATAGGGGTTGAGGACTTTTTAAGAAACTAGTAAAGGAGCAAGCCATGCTATATATGTGTGTGTGTGTGTGTATGTGTGTGTGTGTGTGATTTTATTGGAAAGTCAGCTGCACAGAGAGGAGGAGCGACAGAGAGGAAGATCTTCTGTCTGCTGATTCACTCCCCAAATAGCCATAATGGCCAGAGCTGAGCTGGTCTGAAGCCAGGAGCCAGGAGCCTGTTCCAGATCTCCCACAGTGGTGCGGGGCCCCAAGGCTTTGGACCATCCTCTACTGCTTTCCCAAGCCACAAGCAGGGAGCTTGATAGGGAGCGGGCTGTCGGGATTAGAACCAGCGCCCATATGAAACCCCGGCATATGCAAGGCAAAGACTTCAGCCACACACAGCTCTCAGCTAGAGCCTAGCCCAGCCCAGATCATTGCCAACATTGGGGAATAAACCAGCAGAAAGTACTTCTCACTCTTTTTCATTCTTTCTCTTTGTCCCTCTTCTCACTCTCAAAAAAAAAAATCTTTCCCACATAATGTGTTTTAGTGTTGTTGGTTTGGTGTGAGACATTGCTGAAGCCTCCCGTAGTCTCCATCTGTGTTCTTATCTGTATTCCTATTGTAACACCTGCCTGCTGCTTAATATTTGTGTGCATATTAATCTCTTCCACTAGACATTGAGGTCTACAACGTAGTCCATTCTGTTTGTTTAATGAATGTTAAAAAAACGTAAGTGCAGTGCAGTGGCTAAGTCTTCATCTTGGATGTGCTGGGGTCCCATATGGGGGTCAGTTCTAATCCCAGTGACCCCACTTTTCTTCCAGCTCCCTTCTTGTGGCCTGGGAAAGCAGTCAAGGACAGCCCAAGGCCTTGGGACCCTATACCTGTGTGGGAGACCTGGAAGAGACTAGGCTCCTAGCTTCAGATTGGCGTAGCTCCAGCTGTTGTGGCCATATGGGGAGTGAATCAACAGACGGAAGATCTTTTCTGTCTCTCCTCCTCTCTGTATATCTGACTTTCCAATGAAAATAAATCTTTAAGGAAAATAAGAGAAAAAGAAGAAAAATGTTAGGTTGAAGGAACCAGAGTTTGAAAAGCGTGGACATAGGTTGTGTGTTGATAGCTATAATTTCTGTGTAGATAAGAGTTTGGAGAAACTGGAAATAATGATGCAAGCTTGTGTGTGTGTGTGTGTGTGTGTGTGTGTGTGTGGCTTTGAAGAGAGTACAGATTTGTGGCACTATTCACACACATGATGCTATTTCACAATAGCTGGTAGAGGATTTTCCCCACACAGGGAATGACATATGCCTGGGTGACGGATAGTCCAGCTACACTGATCTGATACTTACATGCTGTGCATATATATTCAAATGCCACATCATATCCCAGCTATTTGCAAAATTACTATGTGTTCACTCAAATGATTGTGATAGCAGTAGCAATATTAGAGAAGGAAAAAAACAATTATTTCAGAAATTTGTATGTTATTTTTCTCATACACTTAAAGAGTGTTCTGCTGTTTCCCAACAAAAATAATCAGGGCTTCACTGGTTCTGGGAGTGGAGTAGAAAATGTTCAAGATGAGCTTAGACATCTTGTCTGCTCAACAAGGAGGAAGCTGGGAGAGACTGCTTGGTTCTTGCCAACTTGAAGCTGTTCCCACTCACCTAAAGATGGGAAGTGATGCCCACAATTGGTTGAAACACCTCAAGTACTAAAATACACAAGTGTATTATAATAGACTGTGTGGGAGCTTGCTAGGACACCAACTTTAAAAATCTCTCTAAAACAGATAAGGATGGGGAATTAAAAATAAATAAAACTTCCCCAGATGGCCTCAGGGTTGGAATTGGGTAGTTCGAGGCCAGGAGCCAGGATCCTCTTCCTTCCCCCATATGGGTACATGGACCCAAGGATTTGGTGCATCCTCCACTGCCATCCCAGGCCATCAGCAAGAACCCAGATCTGCTCTGGCACCACAGGTGGAGGCTTAGCTGGCCACACCATGGCAACAGCCCAAGTACTGAGCTTTCACAAGTAGTGTGAGTTGGCTGTGATAGGAATATTCGTTTTAATTTGGGAATGATGACAGAGAAGATGAAAGAAAGGTGGGGGTCTCTGAGTTTTGGTTTAGAAGGGAGAGAAATTGACTAGACTAGAAATTGACTAGAAATGACAAATTAGCAAACAGCATCTATTAGATATGGCAAATGGTAAGATTAATTATTATGAGTAAAGAATATATCTCAATTTTATTTGAAAGAGTTATATGATTACCATTTCATACCTCTGAGTAGAATTAAAGGATTTTTATAGCAAGAAAAAAAAATTAACTTTATGCTTGTGGAACAAATGAAACCAAACTTTGCTACCCTTTTCTTTTGTATTCCTGTTCAAACAGTGTAGACTGTCATCTCTTCCTTTGTTTTTTTAAGATTTATTTATTTTTATTGGAAAGTCAGATATACAGAGAGGAGGAGAGACAGAGAGGAAGAACTTCTGTCTGATGATTCACTCCCCAAGTGACCACAACAGCTGCAGCTGAGCCCATCCAAAGCCAGGAGCCAGGACCTTCCTCCAGGTTCCCACACGGGTACAGTCCCAAGGCTTTGGGCCGTCCTTGACTGCTTTCCCAGGCCACAGGCAGGGAGCTGGATGGGACATGAGGTGGTTGGAGCACAAAGCGGCACCCATCTGGGATCCCAACACATTCGAGGCAAGAACTTCAGCCACTAGGCTACTGTGCCAGGCCCGAACTGTCATTTCTTAACAAAACCTCAAGTACCTTTTTATCCACTTCTTTCTAATATGATTTTATCTGGCATGAAACTGCCTGCTGATGTTTTCATTTGATTACTCATATCTATAACTGTGCACTTTCTGTCAAGCAACTAATCCTCTAGGCCTCTTTAAGTTTTTTCTGTTTTATCTCCAAATTATGTTGTAGTCAATGTGTTGTATTCCCATTATCAGACATTCATTTTTTCATGTCTTCTACTGGGTGCCTTATCAAAAGCTTTTCTGTTCCTTTCATTTTTTTTGTTGTTGCTGCTATACTTTTTCTTTTATTGATTTTTAACTTTGTTTTAAATAGTGCTTACATAGTTGAGAGGGGTACACACCCATGTGGGCCTCTAATTAAAGTAGGAAAAGTTGAGGTATGGAAGAAGGTGGGTAGAACAAATGTTTCAGATCTTTGTTTCTCCTGTGAGCTCAGAGGGACCACTCCTCGATGTCAGACTACATCAGCACTCAAGGATGAGGGACGTCATTTGATGACGCTGTAGAGACCCTGGTGTCGAGAGGAATGTTCCAAGGATGTTACTTGAGTAGTTTTGATAGTTCTAAGATGTTGCATTCATTGCACCCGGGCTGAGAAAATTTTTCCAAAGTATTTTGGTGACCAAGTCCATCTTAGCACATTCCCAGGCCCAGAAATATGTTGCAAAGAGTTTTCCAACCTGTTCTTTTTTCCGTCTTCTGATGAGGCACTTGACGTCCTCTGCTGGCCTAGAGGAGCTGGCTGTCATGCCCCCATGTGCATCTGGACATGCTGACCACTGCACAAACATGAGAAACTGAGGAGGCCCGGTGTTGACACATGCACTCCAAGGTTGCACCACACGTTCTGTGGTTTTCCAGGGTGACCAGGGATTGAATCCAGCCACCTAGTTGGAGAGTCACTGAAGAAACTTCATCTGGAGTGTCCTCAGACTTGACTCTTTTCTGTGCCTGCTAGTTCAGGGACAGGTTCAATCCATCACCTGCACCAATCCATCCGTGGATGCAGCTGCCTGATCACTTCCATCCCTAGCCTCATCTCTTACTTGAATCTATGAGTGCTACAGCCCAGCCCACCACAGACCTGATCCTCACACACATCAACAGGTGCCACAGCGACTCAGAGTGACACCCAGTAACTCCCACCAGCCTGCCCACAGCCCCGGTTTTTTGCACATGCCAGCTTGTGCTGCAGCCTAACCTGACCCAGCCCACATCCCATCCAGCTCTCAGACACACCCACCTGTGGATAGTTATCACTTACCTCAGGTCAACCCACCCTCAGACCCAGTCTGCGCATATGCTGGTAAGTGCTACCACCCCTTTCAGCCTGACCCACGCCCAGCCCTGGCTCTCATGTTCACCAGTGGGAATTGCAGCCTAGCAAGGGAGTCCCCACAGTTCCCCTGCCAAGCCCATTCCCAGCCAAGCATCTTGTACTCGCCAGGGGTTATTACTGTCTAGCCCAACATGACCTACACCCAGTCCTACTATTTGCCATCAGGTACTGTGGCCTAGCTGGACCAGTCTGCACCCATTCTTGGTTCTCGCAAGTATTAGCAGGTGTAGCAGACTAGCCCAGCCTGGCTGCCCCTAGACTGAGCCCAAATGCTGACAGGTATTGTAGCCTTGCCCGGACAAGCATGCCCCCAGTCCCAGCTCTCATGCTCACTAGTAGAAGCAGCATCCCAGCAGGGGAGTCCCGGGAAATTTCCCTGCCAGGCTTACTCCCAGCCCCGGGTCTTGCATGTTTCAGTAGGTGCTTCAGCCCAGCTCACCCCAATCCCAGCTGTTGCCAGTAGGTACAGTATCCTAGCCTTGCCTGGTCTGTACCCTATCCTGGCTGTTACTTGTGCCAATGTATGCTGTAGACTGGCCCAGCCTAGCCTGTCCCCAGACCCAGCCCACATGTATGCCAACAGGTGCTGCAGCCTTGCATGGTCTGGCCTAACCTGCTTCAAGTTTTCAAGTTCCAGCGCATGTGCTCACCTAGCTACAACTTTGCAGAGGAATTCTACTAGCCCTGTTACCCAACCAGTGGATGCTTTAGCCCAGCCAAGCATGGCGCACCCCCAGTCTCAGCTCTCACTTGTAGATATTGCAGCCTATCCCTGCCTGACATGGCATGTGCCAACAACTACTACAGCCTGGCCCGGCCTGACCTGGCCCAGCCCACCCCCAAATCCTGGCTCCCATGCACCCCAGCAGGAGCTGCAGCTTAACAAGAGAGTTCCCCATGCTCCCCTACCAGTCCTACCCTCAGCTCCATATCTTCATGTGTGCTAGTGGGTGCTGTGGCCCCACTTGGCATGGTCTTCCCTCAGTCCTGGCCTTTGCATATGCTGGAGGTTGCTGCAGCCTGGTTCAGCCTGGCTTCTCAGCCTGGCTTGACCTGTCAGACCCCGCTCTGTCACTCAAACTGGTGAGTGCTGCATTCCTACAGAAGTGAGCCCACAAATCCACTACAAAATCTGCCCCCAGATCCAGTTCTTTTGTGTTGCAGTGGGTACTGCCGCACAACGCAACATGGCCCACCTTCTGACGATGCTACACTGGTCCTGCAGTCTAGTCCTTCCAGGCTTGCCCCCGAGTCCTAACTTTCTTGTGTACCAGTGGCCAGTGCTGCTCAGCTCAGGCCAGGTCTCCCACAAGGGCAGGTGCATGGCCTGACCCAGATATGCCTTCTGATTTCCCTCCTTTAAACCACCCCACCTCACTTCCTTCACTTACCTGGGAGTGTAGTAGCCAGGTCTGTGGAAGCCCCCAGATGTCACTCCTCACCTCTCAAACATACCCTTAGTGTCTCCTACTCCAACAGGTTCCCAGACCCCTTTCCCACAACCCCCACCACGCGGCAGGGCAGTATGCCTGTGGGATGGGGTGGCATGTCCCCAGCCCAGCGACAAAAAGTAAAGGTAGCTATGCTGGCACACTGATACAGTTCACACACAAGTAGCATTGACCAGGCCCAGAAATATCTACCAGCTATTGGCTGCTTTTCTTCCACTCGCCTAGAATGTGACACTAACCTAGGTACAAGGCAACCAAGGCAGTTGCTTATAGCCTGGGGCCTTTCATCTTTTTATTTATTTTTTATTTCTTACAATGCAATTTTGTACACTAGGAACTCATCCCTCCCCCTTCCATTCCTCCCTTCCCATCTTCCCTCCCCATCCCATCCTCCGATATTATACTCAGTAGACTAGTTCCTTAGTACAAGCTACAGGTTTAGCTTTCTTATAGTTAATGTATCATGTCAGCAGGATCATCTTCCCAAAGTACCTTTTGTGCCTTCGCTTCTATGTTTATCGACACTCAGTAGAAGTCCAAAGTGTGCTGTAACTTATGTTTTAAAAATCTTTCATTGTTTAATTTCAGTCTGCCTTTGCAGCAATTTGTTTCACACTACTTCTAATGTAAATCTTGAATTTAGCTCAGTCTCCTCCAGTCACCTGTTTGGAACATGCTCTTTCTTATTCTCACCATTATGTTCCATTAGTTTTGACTTCACCAAGGATTATTTTTCCCTGCCCAAGTCCTATAATAACCTGTGCATCTTTCATAGTAGCCTACAATACTAACACTGTTGAACTCCCCTACTGTTTCTCATTTGTCACACACAGTGATGATAATACTTTAAAAAAAAAAACCTAGCTTGTCTCCCCAGTGGAATTGCAGGCTCCTGAAGGGGAAGGTTCTGTTGAGCCTTCCAGGTACTGAAACCATGTGATGCGGTAAGTGTTGAGTAAATATTTTTGTTAAGATTTGTTTTCTTTTTGTTGTTGTTGCTGTTGGAAAGGCAGATATACAGAGAGGAGGAGAGACAGAGAGGAAGAGCTTCCATCCGATGGTTCACTCCCCAAGCAGCTGCAACAGCTGAAGCTGTGCCAATCCAAAGCCAGAAACTTCTTTCCGGGTCTCCCACACGCGAGTGCAGGGTCCCAAGGCTGTGGGCCGTCCTCTGCTGTTTTTCCAGGCCTCAGGCAGGGAGCTGAATGGGAAGTGGAGCAGCCAGGATACAAACCAGCACCCATATGGGATCCTGGAGGATGCAAAAAGAGGATTTTAGCCACTAGGCTATCGTGTTGAGCCCTCAGTAAATATTTTTAAGGATAATTTGACTAGTGGTTAGTCTCCTTTGCAGATTATTTTAAAGCAGCCTGATTTTTTCTGTCCTCATCTCTCTGAAATAGACATTCATGGTGCTATCAAAGGCCGAGCTATAAACTCAGTTCCTCTGGAGGCACTCTCTCCTAAAGTTATAGTTTACAAATCAATAGATACTTGACTCAAGCTTAAATGAAGCACCTGAGAAGTTGAGATAACTTTGGTGTGAATTTTAGAACTTTTTCAATTTAAGTGTTACAAATTAGCTTTTAAAAGTGTCACTTGTTTAGAAGAAGTTTAAGCATTGATAAAATATTTTCTTCCAAGTAGTTTGAGAAATGTTAAATTATGTTGTTTAACTTTTAAAAAAAAATGTTTAATTACATGCTTAGTTGAATTATTTTGTTTCACATTAAAATTGTGCTTTTAATTAGGCTATACTTTCACTGTGTTTATATAAGTCCATTTTATTAGGTCTGAAAACAGTCCATTTGATTCACTTCTAGTTATTAGTCACAGCTTTTTCACACATTGGTAGTGAGGATGTTTTAGTTCAGCCATTTGCATAAAGAATAATTCTCAAATAGAAAGCTTCAAAATACCTGTTACAATTCTATTAAACAATCAGTTGTTAGTTACATGATGTGTTTGCAGTGCTGGTAGTAAAGTATTAGCTTTTGATTGTTAATATGGAATTGTTTTTGTTCTGTTTTATAGAATAATAATAACCTGGATGCCTGCTGTGCCATTCTCTCTCAGGAGAGTACAAGGTATCTGTATGGTGAAGGAGACTTGAACTTCTCGGATGATTCTGGCATCTCTGGTCTACGCAATCACATGACTTCTCTCAACTTAGACTTGCAGTCACAGAACATTTACCATGGAAGAGAAGGAACTAGAATGAATGGAAGTAGGACTCTAACACACAGCATTAGTGATGGACAACTTCAAGGTGGTCAGTCCAACAATGAACTGTTTCAACAGGAGCCACAGACAGCACCAGCACAAGTTCCTCAAGGCTTTAATGTTTTTGGCATGTCCAGTACTTCTGGTGCTTCCAATTCCACACCACATCTTGGATTTCACTTAGGCAGCAAAGGAGCATCTAACCTTTCTCAACAGACTCCAAGATTTAATCCCATCATGGTGACTTTGGCCCCAAATATCCAGACTGGTCGTAATACTCCTACGTCTTTGCACATACATGGTGTACCTCCACCTGTACTTAACAGTCCACAGGGAAATTCTATCTATATAAGGCCTTACATTACAACTCCTAGTGGTACAACTCGGCAGACACAACAGCATTCTGGCTGGGTGTCTCAGTTTAATCCCATGAACCCTCAACAAGTCTATCAACCTTCACAGCCTGGTCCCTGGACTACTTATCCTGCATCTAATCCTCTGCCACATACCTCAGCCCAACCGTCAAATCAGCAAGGCCACCAGACCTCTCATGTCTATATGCCCATCAGTTCACCTACCACCCCTCAGCCACCCACGATTCATTCATCTGGTAGCTCACAGTCTTCTGCCCATAGCCAATATAACATTCAGAATATTTCAACAGGACCTCGAAAAAACCAGATTGAAATCAAACTTGAACCACCACAAAGAAACAGTTCTTCAAAATTGCGTTCTTCTGGACCTCGAACCTCCACCAGTTCCTCTTCGGTCAACAGCCAGACTTTAAATAGAAACCAGCCCACTGTTTACATAGCTGCCAGTCCTCCAAATACTGACGAGGTGATATCCCGTAGCCAACCTAAGCTCTATATTTCAGCGAATGCCACCACAGGAGATGAACAGATGATGCGGAATCAGCCCACACTCTTCATATCTACAAACTCGGGGGGCTCTGCTGCCTCCAGGAACATGTCTGGCCAAGTGAGCATGGGGCCTGCTTTTATCCATCACCACCCTCCCAAAAGTCGAGCCATAGGCAGTAATTCTGCGACTTCTCCTCGAGTGGTGGTCACTCAACCCAATACAAAATACACTTTCAAAATCACAGTTTCTCCCAATAAGCCCCCTGCGGTCTCACCAGGGGTTGTCTCCCCGACCTTTGAACTTACCAATCTTCTAAATCATCCTGATCATTATGTAGAAACAGAGAATATCCAGCACCTCACGGACCCTACTTTAGCACATGTGGATAGATTAAGTGAAGCCCGGAAGTTGAGTATGGGATCAGACGATGCTGCCTACACACAAGGTAATGTTAACACTCAAGTGGGGGTAGCTTTGCCCACTGGAATTTTTTGGGATACGTTTGATTTCACTGCAGAAATGGATATTGACACGATTATTTCATCTTTTAAGTGTTGCTCCAAATAATGTCATCTTAACATTTGAGAGTATTTATATAAATTTAAATTTTGGTTTTGCTATCATGTAAGATAGTCGGTTCTTCAAGATGCTCAGGTTTGGTTGTGTTTTAATGTCTATAATTCTTTCTTTTCAGTTCTTGTTCTGATGTTGGCTTTCCTTTTCTTTAAGATTTTCACAAATAAAATTCATTTTAAAATTTAGTTGGTTCATGAGTAATGTGATAAATCAGCCTTCTTTGACCAGATATTTGAAGAGTATTTAAATCATATATGTATTTAGGTAGAGACAGTTTCTGCCCCTGTATTTCATCAGACTCCCTGATCTGCAGTAGGACAGTGTTAAATTCGTTTAGATGAGAAGGTGACAGTGAATTGCTTGTATGAAGTGTTACTGCAAGTGTGAGTCTTCTGGAGTAAGAGCGTGTCTGTGTCATCATTGCACCTGCACTGAGTTTTTCTGTGTGTTAACTGGATGTTGGAAAATCCTCCACAATCCCTTCTTCCACCTGCGCTTTAGACAGTATCTCGTATGCTGACTTTGCTGCTTAGTTTCTCTAGAAACTAAGGACCTGATTGTTTGGTCTTCTTTTATATTTTATTGAGTTAAATATAATAATCTCAGTCCAAGGTGATCTGTGGTGCTCTCAAATTTCATGATTACTTTTAGAGTTTTCACAAGCTGAAGTGCCCAGAGCTCTGCTTAACTTGGTTATTTCAAGTCTGAATGCTGAAACCCAGGTGCACACATGTGTGTGTGCACGTGCTTGATTTAGAGGTACGTGGGTGATTCTGACTGCAAAGAAAATTGTGTTGAAACTTTGGTTTTACGTATATCTTTGACTAACTAGAACCATTTTGTGAGTTTCAGCCGTTTTTGAGTTTTAATGTACTATAATTTTTTTAAAGATTTATTTTTAATTTTTATTGTAAAGTCAGATGTACAGAGAGGAGGAGAGACAGAGAGATCTTCCATCCGATGATTCACTCCCCAAGTGACCACAAAGGCCGGTGCTGTGCTGATCTGAAGCCAGGAGCCAGAAACTTCTAGGTCTCCCATACGGGTGCAGTGTCCCAAGGTTTTGGGCCATCCTCAACTGCTTTCCCAGGCCACAAGCAGGGAGCTGTGGCCTGGGAAAGGCTGCCAGGATTAGAACTGGCACCCATATGGGATCCCAGCACTTTCAAGGCAAGAACCTTAACCGCTAGGGCACTGCACTGGACCCAAGTATTATGATTTTTTTCCACTGCAATTTAATTGTTCTTTCCCAAAGTCATCCTTATTCTTTCCTCCTGTCAGAACAGCAGAATTCTAGTTTGGAGACTTACTGATTCTTAAATGGAGAGAGGTTTTAAAAAGATCATTTGAAAAAGGGGAATTTGCAAGTAAAATACATATTCACATTTAACTGGAAATTGTAAATATATTAGCAAAGCTATTTATGCTTAACTAGAATATGAAAATGAAGTTGTATTGCCTGCAGTTCATTAATAAAAATACATAGTGCAGGCTAACTATAAAGAGAAGAGCTTTCTTTGGGCTCATCTCTGGAGGCACACATCCAAGGACTCAGCTGGCAGAGTCTAAGGCAGCCACAGAGCGTCACATCACAGCAACAGAGACGTGGATGTCTGCATCTGTGTGCTGCTCCCCTCTCTGTTGCTTAACATCCGTGTGACTGCAACCCTCATACTTTCTGCCTTTGGAACAGGCGGCCGCCTACAGCCTTTCATCGTCATTGCTTTCAGTTTGCTCTAGAATTGTAGTTGAGGTTTCTTCTTCTTTTTATTCAGCTTTATTTATTTATTTCAAAGGAAGTTGCACAGAGAGAGATCTTCCAACCACTGGTTCCTTCCCAAATAGCCACATGGCTAAGGCTGAGCTAAGGAACCTGGAACTCCAACTGGGTCTTCTACATGAGTGCTGGGGCTCAAGCATTTGGACTACCCTCTGCTGCTTTCCTAGGTGCATCAGCAGGGAGCTGAAACAGAAGTGAAGCAGCCAAAATGTGAAATGGCAGGTTAACCTGTTATGCCATGATGCAGACCCGAGCCACATTTCTGCATCACCCAGTGAGAGCATATGAATCTGTTGTTGTGTTCTCAAAGAATGCTAAAATCAGTCTCCCATGGGTACTGAGGGACAACTGATGTCTTAGATACTCCGCCAATAGTGGAATACACAAGTATACTCCTTTTCTTGCATAATAGATCTTGAGATCTTTGTACTTTAGAATGTTTAAATCCATTTCATTCTTTAAATCTTTTATTTTGTTTTGTTTTGTTTTGTTTGAAAGAGTTAAAGAGTGCGAGTAACAGGGAGTAAGGTTCTCCATGCCCTGCTTCACTCTCCAGGTGGCTGTAATGGCCAGGGCAGGGCCTAGCCAAAGTTGAGAGTTTCTTCCGGGTCCCCCACAAGGGCAGTGGGCTCTCTTATACTGCTTTTCCCAGGCCATTAGCAAGTGGAGTGGCTGGGCTTCAGAACAGCCCCGCTCTGAGCTGCCAGCATTGTAGGTGGCTCTGTATGCTGCACCACACCACCAGCCTCACTGAATTTATTTTAAGTTGCTAGTCATTGTCACCACTTTATTGAGATCAAGTTAACCTGCCATACAATTCACTCATTTGCAATTACACTTGTCCCATGAGTTTTGATATATTTCAGTCTGAGAACAGCTAATAAAACATGTTTATTGCCTCATTGTATAATGACGTAGATAAGGCTCCAACTTTATTCTACATGTAGATCCCCAAGCATTCCAGCGGCATTTGTTAAAAGGACTTTTGTATCTGCATTGACTGATTTTTCGTTGTAAAATTTCAGTTGACCATAAAATGGTTTATTTCTGGACTCCGATTCTTTTCCATTGATCTATGTGTTCTTTATTTCAATGTTGCATTGTCTTAGTTGCTATTGCTTTGTAGCTTAGTTTTTTAAATTGTTCTGCAAGATGATTTTGACTGTCTGGGGTCTCCTGGAGTCCCGTGAACTTTACAATCAGCTAGTCAGTTTCTACCAAGTCCAGTGGAATTCTGTCAGCATGAAAGTATTTCACATATAATTGATTAAAAAATGAAACAGACTTGGCTAAATGGCTGGTTTTGTGACATCAGATTAAGCTGCCACCTGAGGACCCGGCATCCATATTGAAGTGCCAGTTCGATTCTTGGCTGTTGCCTGTCCAGCTCTGCTGGTGCAGCTGGGAAGGCAACAGATGAAGGCCTTAGTGTGGGAGACCAAAATGGAGTTCTAGGATCCTTGCTTCTACAAACCCCAGCCCTTGCTGTTGCCACCATTTGGAAGTGAACCAGCAGGTGGAGATTTCTCTTTCCCTCTCCCCACCTCTGTCCTTCCACTCTATTGCCCTGCCTTCCATGTAAATAAATCTTTAAAAAGAAGGAAAACAGTGCTCATTGTTGTCACTGTGAGTTAAGCCACTGACTGCAGTGCCAGCATCCCGTATGAGTACCAGTTTGTGTCCAGATTGCTCCACTTCCCCCTCCAGCTCCCTGCTAACATACCTGAGAAAGCGGTGGGAGATGGCCCAGGTACTTGGACCCTTAGACCCCTCAGGGAGATCAAGATGGAGTTGCAGGCTCCTGGCTTCAGACTGGCCAAGTCTCAGCTGTAACAGCTGTTTGGAGTGTGAGCAGCAGATTGTGGACCAGTCTTTCTTTCTGTCTCTATCTCACACTCATAGTTAGCTCTGCCTTTCAAATAATTATGTAAATCTTGGACCTCCTGTCTGCCAGCACCAGCCTCCTGCTGTCCCCACCCCTGGCACTAAGGCCTGCACCCTGGCCTGCTCATGACTTTATCACTGACATGGCAGCCGGGAGCTCTGTCCTAGAGTTAACCAAGACCTAGAACCAACTACGAATCCAGACGCAGTCACAGATGGAGTTTCTACCACTGCAGTAGGTTCCCTGGCAACACAGTCAGCCCTGTAGCCTGTCACATCCACTGCTGGCCCAGAGTCGGCTGCCTCCAGCACTGTGGGAAAAGCTACTCAGGCCACAGCTTATTTTTTGATGTTTTTCAGACTGAGAGCTTTGTGACTGACAACCATGACATGAATTATTCTGATGAGCTGAGTAAAGTAAAAGAGCAGAACGACAGCTCTGAAGAAAGCAATGGATCCACTTAAATGAATATTTCAGATGAAGTAGATTCTTCTTGAGCTCGTTCTGCTGTCCAGCACTTTGTCAGAAGATCCTGAGCTGTAGAACGAGCCTAGCATCCAGAGCTAGGAGACGGGACGAGTGTAGGCCTTGGTCAAGCTAGCGTGTACTCAGTGGAGGAGAAGCAGCAAAGCATTGGTCATGAATTCTGTATGCACAGGGGAGGGGCATACTGCAATTTTGTACCATTGCATAGAGGCTCATCAAATGTTAATTTGAAAAAGTTGTAACCAAAAAAAAAAAAAGAGGGGTGCATTATGAAAGTTCCTTTCATTTTTTTTGTTCTTATACAGGTTTTTAAAATAATGTCCAGCTTTTCACCTTTACTTTTTCATCTTTGTCTGAGAGTTCCATCTATGTCAGCGAGTACAGATTTGGTTGTTTTAAGAAAGGGCTCCACCTAAAGACAGGTATTTGGTGTGTCTGCTTCAGACACCTGTATTTCTTACCAGAACAACCAGGTTTCTGCCCTGACTCTGCCTCTGATCCCTGTATTCTGCTAACACACACCCTGGGGAGAGCAGGTGTCGCTGCAGTGCTTGCTTCCCTTGCCACCTGCATGAATTCTGTACTCCAGCCTGGTCTCTTCCTGCTTGTTGCAGGGGCATTTGGAGTGAACGGCCCAGTAGAACATCTCTCCTTTGCTTTCTCTCTGAGTGTGTGTGTGTGTGTGTGTGTGTGTGTGTGTGTGTGTGTGTGTGTGTGT